AGTGTTGTTCAGCATGGGGGTGAGTAGAAAATGAAGGCTAATCATGTTTTGGGTGTACTATTCCTTTAAGAATCACTGGTCTAGACTCAGTGCAGGAGGTGGGAAACAAAAGGATCCCACCCCATGCATGAAGCTGGTGCTGAACTGGAGAGCTCCTTCACTGACAGACTGCTGCACCCTAAATGCACCAGGGGTGTTATCATAGATCCTTCCTCCCAGCAGCTGGAAGGCTCTAGAACCACCACTGTTCTCAACAACCTCAAATAAGTTGTTACATTCATTCTGATTTTGCACGGTTTTAGTCTTGGTTACTTAAATGACATGCTGCTGTCATTTGGCACATCTCTGGTATTGGTGCTATTTTCAAATATCCCCTACTGTACAAACGTCTACAGCTGTCTATATTTGTAAAAAGACTGTACAGTACAGTATTTTATTTTGTTTACTTTTTTAACCTTGCAACTTTTTATGTTATTTTTCTTTATACACTTTTAAGGTCCACCACTGTTTCCCCATTGTTAGACATTCTATTCTATTCTGTTTCATTCTATTCTATCTTATTCGATTCATGGATGATTTCGGATACAAACAGGAACCCATGTATGCAAACATGTCAATTCCATCTTTTATTATAAGTGCTCAGCTTGCATTTTATTTGCAATAAACATCAAAATGTCCCTGTTAATCCCACAAGGATTTGAAGTCTAAATCTAAATTACCTGTAACTAGAGCAGAATAAAACAGGTATATCCTTAACAAAGTCTACAGCATAAACTTTTACCTCTGAGCTGAGGATACTCCAGTCTCCCATCAAATTAGATGGAAAAACTCTTAATACTGGCAAAGGGACTCAGTGAACAATAAAATAGGATGTTAGGTTAAGGTTGAGGTCTCAAGTTAATGCTGGAGTGCTCCGAAAGTTAATCTGTGAAACGGATCCCCTGTATCTCTAATATCTCTGTAATTACTACCATTTTATGTTTTAAATGATTTTTTTTCTGCTTTTTACAGGCAATTTCCTTCCTTACGCCACTGGCGGTGATTTTTGTCGTAAAGATTATTCAGCGGACGGACAAGACAGAGATCAAGGAGGCTTGTTTGGGTGCGTAGAGATCTTTCCTTGAATTGTTTTGTGACAGAAAATCATTTTTGTGACAGTTGTAAGAAAGCAGGATTATTTCGATATGCAATTCTTGGGATATGAATGGTTTGGCCTATTATACTGACAGAGTATGTATAATACGAAAAGTCTTCCAACGCAATATTTTATGCCCTAACATTAAAAAGATTTCTTTCATTAAAGTTTTTGCAGCTCAATATCTTTTCCGTCCTTTTTGCCTGGAGCAAACTGGCCATATATAAGTATTTCATTTGGTTTAATGGTGCTAATCTTTAAATGCAGTGACCTTCTGTTTTAGTCGATATGCTATCATGGATATTATTCTTAATCACATAAAATCTATTTACTGATTATTCATTTAAAGCATTTTCTTTCATTCTCAATCATGATCACTTAAGCAAATTTCGTCCTGCTACTTTCCCTTGAGGTTGAGTGCCAGAAAAGGCATTGGAGCTGTAAGGCATTAAGGAAGTTTAACACAAATCCAATTAAAGAGATACACAGTGATGAATCAGGTGGAAAGAGAGGTGGCTCAGTGCAGCAGAGATTACACTGCAGTGAGGATTTAACAGGCCCCTTACTGCCTGCAGAGAAGGACTTCTACAAGATGTGTGAGAAGCAGAGGGAACTCATGGGAACAAAGAATTACAAGAGTAGGCTATACTGTATTCCTGACAGGTTTCAACAAGATGTGAGAACCGAGGAAGGCACTGCAAAAAAAAACACCATAACGAGACGGAAAAATTGGACAGAAATTGGTCAGCTTGGACATTTTTTTTTCTTAAAATTTTGATTTTTAAAACACAAACATAATCGTTTTTTCAATAATTATTCTTGGAAATGTGGTGCCTTGAACTGTTCTTCTATATAACAATCAAAATTCAGATTACAGGCAAAGACAGATATAAAAAAAAATGTACTTAGTATGTTTAACTTGGATTGGAATGCATATTTACTTCTACTGATATATTTCCATCATTTTCTTCCAAGATTCTTCAGTCTTTATTATACTTTGGGGTACAAAGGAAAACATTTGAAAAATTTGTCTGATAAAAATGGATCATTCAGAAGTCATGCTGCTTAATTATACATTTATTACTGAGTCGGAATATAATGAAGTCCTTTCAAGGTAATATTTCCCACAAGAATGCACTTAAAGAACGAGTGAAATGAGAT